CTGGGGGGGGGCAGGGCTGGGCTGGCAGGGGCTGTGGGTTGGGAGTGAGGGGCACCGGCAGAGCTGGGGGGGGCAGGGCCGGGCTAGCAGGGGCTGCGGGTCGGGAGTGAGGGGCACCGGCAGGGCCGTTACCAATGACGCGCTCTTTTGCTCTCTCCTCTGGCAGACCCTGGCCAAAGTGGTGGAGGGCTGGAACCGGCAGGAGGCGGAGCGGACGGAGCTGCTGCGCGGGCTCCAGGCGGAGAAGGAGGCGGTGCAGCGGGCGCTGAGTGAGCAGCAGGAGGTGAGTGGTGGGCCGGCGGGGGTGCTGGTGGCCGAGCTGCCCGCCTGGCGCAGCCCTGAGCCCTGATGTGTCTCCCCCGCAGACGGCGTCGCAGCTGGAGGTGCGGCTGGAGCAGGCGCTGGAGGCCCTGAGCCGGGAGCAGCAGGCGGCGAGCCAGCAGCGTGAGGAGGCAGCACTGCTGGTAAGAGTCCCCTGCCCGAGCTGGAGCCCCACGGCTAGGGGGTGCAGAAAGGGGCCCGTAGAGCCGAGCGCCAGAGCCCATGGGGACCGCGACTCCCAGCATGCCCTGCTCCTCCTAGAGCCAGGCGCTGGAGCCAATCGCTAGTGCAGCTCCCTGCATGCCCTGCTCCCCATAGGGCCGAGTGCTGGAGCCAATCAGTACTGCAGCTCCCAGCATACCCTGCTCCCCATAGGACCGAGCACCGGAGCCCATGGAGACCGCAGCTCCCAGCATGCCCTGCTGCCCCTAGAACCGGGCCTCGTGCATGTTGGGCTGGGTGGCCCCTTTCACCCTTGTGTCCTATCCCTCCCCCGCAGCAGGAGGAGAAGGCGGGGCTGCTGCGGAGCCTGGAGGCGGAGCGCCAGCGCGGGGGGGGGCTGCAGGTGGAACGGGAGCATGGGCAGCGCCAGCTGGAGGCGCTGCGGGCCACACTGGAGGAACAGCAGGCGGGCTGGGCGCAGCGGGAGCGCCAGCTGGAGCAGCGTTGCCAGGCCCTGCAGGACGAGAGCGCCAGGCAGCTGGAGCGAGAGAAGGTGAGACCCCCCCCACTGCCCTAAACCGGGAGCAGCACCCTGTGCCCGCCTCCCCTCTGCCCCTGCCAGCAGGGCACCCTGCCACTCTGCCCACACCCCACCCGCGGTGCCCCTTCCCCTTTGCCTTCCAACTGGCCGGGGGACTCCCCTGATGCCCCTCAGCCGGCCCGGTTTGCCCTTGTCATGCCCCCTTTGCCCCTCTCCCTCTGTGCCCCGTGCCCTGGGTTCCCCTGTCTCCTAGATGCCCAGTTCTGCTGCCACAACACCCCCCTCTGTGCCCCCTGGCTCCTACATCCTGCCTTCTGTGCCCCAAACCCCACCTGTCTCCCCCACACTCCTGGGGTCCAGCTCTCTACCCCACCGCTCCCTCAGCCCCCTCGGGGGGAGTGGGGGCTAGTGGTTATAGCAGGGGGTTGCTGGGAGCCAGGACTCCTGGGTTCTGTCTCTGCTGGAGCCGGGCAGTGCGGGGCAGTGGTTAGCCTGGGGGCTGCCCATCTGGCTGTCCCTTTGCCAGGTGGCCGTGCAGCGGGAGGCCCAGCGTGCCGCGGACGCCCAGCAGGTCCTGGCCTCAGTGCAGGCCGACGCCCAGCGCCTGGAGAGCGAGCTGGAGGCAGCGCGGAGTGAGCGGGACGGGCTGCAGATGGAGATCAGCCTGGTGAAGGTACCGGGGGCTTTTCCCCTCTAGGGGGCGCTGGCTCCCACCTGGCCCCAGGGCAGGGATTGGCTGGCTCGGGGGCGGGGAATGGGGCAGGGGCCTGTCCCGTCTAGGGGGCGCTGGCTCCCATCTGGCCCCAGGGCGGGGACTGGCTGGCTCAGGGGGGCAGAGAATGGGGCAGGGGCCTGTCCCCCTCTAGGGGGTGCCGGCTCCCCTCCAGCCCCAGGGTGGGGACTAGCTCGAGGGGGTCCCTGGCTGCCAGCAGAACCCCTGTGCCCCCAGGCGCGGTGCGAGGCCCAGAAGGCGAAGCTGGAGGCAGAGCTGAAGGTGGCGCTGGAGCAGCAGGTGACGGAGAGGCTGGCGCGGGTGCATGAGGACAGCCTGCGGCAGACGGGTGCCATGCGGGAGCAGCACAGGTACCCCCCAATTCCTTGCCCCACGGCCGCCCCCCCTCCCAGCCACTTGGTCCCAGCTCCCTACGCGGATGGGGCCGGAGGGGGGCCCCGTGCCCGCTGCTCAGCCTGGCCCTTCTATCCCCCCTCAGGAAGCAGCTGCTGGACCTCAGCGGGCACCATGAGCGGGAACTAGGCAGTCAGCTGGCGCAGTTCCGGGCTGAGCTGGCCGAGCGCGAGGAGCGGCAGCGGCGCCTGGTTGAGGACTATGAGCTGAGGTACCGAGCGGGCACCGGGGGGCTGGTTATCCAGGGACCCCTCGCCCGGCGCTGAGATGCAGCCACCTCTGGTTACACAGGGAACCCCTCGCCCGGCGCTGAGATGCAGCCACCTCTGGGGTGGGCGGCTGGTTATCCAGGCCATGGGGCACCCCCACAGTAGAGCGCCGACAACCCCCTTCTCTGCAGGCTGGCCAGGCAGGAGGAGTTGGCGCGGGAGCTGCAGGCCGGGAAGTGGCGGCTGGAGGCCCAGCGAGCGGACATGGTGGCCCGGCTCCAGGCCATGATGCAGTCGCATTGGAACGAGGCCCTGCGCGTGCTGACCGGAGATTCCTCCTCGCAATCTCCCGCCAAGGGTCCCCGCCAGGTGAGTGCCAGGGAGAGAACCCAGGAGTCCTGGCTCCCAGTCCCCCCCTGCTCTAACCACCAGCCCCCACTCCACTCCCAGAGCCAGGGAGAGAACCCAGGAGTCCTGTTCTTATTCCCTGTCGGTCTCTAAGCCCCCCCATCTCTTTGTCCCCCAACAGCCTCCCGTCTCCGACGCCACCTCTCGCTCCGAGCCGGAGCGCCTGGGCCAGCCCCCCAGCCCCGCCCCTCCCGGGAAGCCGGAGAGCTGGCAAGAGGACCCCTGCAGCGGTGCCGGGGACGGCGACGGGGGCGGCTGGGCCTTCGTCCAAGCGGTGCCCCTGCAGCCCGTCACCCAGCGCAGCTCCCTGCCGGTGGCACGGGGCCCCGAGCGCTTCCTGCCCCTCGCGCCCAGCGGCTGCGTCTCCGTTGAGCTGGCCCAACTCCTGAACCAGAGCCTCCGGAGCCAGCGGGGCTTCCAGCCGCTGGAGCCGCAGCTCGACGACTCCGCCAGCCCAGGTACAGGGTTCGGGCGTACCCCCATCCCACCGCTAGCTCCAGGAAACCCCCAGCCGCACCCCGGCCAGGCGGGGGCCTGGGAGCAGCTCCCCCTCGCCTCCCTCGCCTGGCTGAGATGCAGCTGGCTCTGTGGTGGAGCGCGGGGCTGTTGGGGTGGGGACCACCTGGCCAGCATGAGAGGTGTCCCCTGCTCCCTGCCCCACAGCACCCCCCTAGTGCCACCCTGGGGCCAACCCTGCCTGCCAGGGGAGAGCGCCACCTGCAGAGCCCCCGCCCCGCTCCCTGCCCCCCAGTGCTCCCTAGCACCACCCTGGGGCCAGCCCTGCCTGCCAGGGGAGAGCGCCACCTGCTGAGCCCCCGCCCCGCTCCCTGCCCCACAGCGCCGCCCTGGGACCAGCCCCGCCTGCCAGGGGAGAGTGCCCCCTGCTGAGCCCTCCACCCCGCTCCCTGCCCCACAGTGCCCCCTAGTGCCACCCTGGGGCCAGCCCTGCCTGCCAGGGGAGAGCGCCACCTGCTGAGCCCCCTGCCCCATTCCAAGCCCTACAGCGCCCCCTAGTGCCGCCCTGGGGCATTGGGGCTGGCACCTGAGGTTGGGGTGGGGGGCACTGGGTTGTGTTGTTCTGACCCCTTTTTCCCACCCAGGGCTGAGCTCGCACCCCCCTCACCTGGCGGAGCACCCCTACCCCGAGGACGAGGGGGGCCCCAGCGATGGTGAGACCCCCCCGAACAGCAGCCTGGAGAGCGGGGGGCAGGTGCCCCCCAGCCAGCTGCACCCAGAGCTGCAGTACTACATGGCGCTGGTAGGAGACTGGCAGTGGGGGGGTTCTGGCCAGGGAGGGTGGGGAGCTGGGGACCGGCTGTGCGTGTATGGCGGGGGTGTGTGTGTTAGGGACGGGGTACCCAGCTGCTCACTTCTTCCCTCCCCCCCGTCTTTCTCTTAGCTGCTGGAGCAGATGCCGAGTGACCCCCCCAGGCAGGAGGGGCCGGGGGGTGAGGGTCAGGCCCAGCCCCACACCCACCCAGGTAAGGTGGCAGGCTCGGTCCCGCCCCCCAGCAGCCCCAGGCCCGCCCCACAGGGGTCCCCCCACCCCCAGCAGCCCGGGTTCTGCCCCATGTGGGTTGTGCCCCCTGTCCCAGCGGCCCAGGTCCCGCCCCCCACGGGTCCCGCCCCCTGTTCCAGCAGCGTGGCATGGCCCAGCCCCCGTGTGACCCCCACCCCCCGTCTCCTATGCCTGCAGGCTTGGCCCGGGAGGACCCCCCCTCGCTGTGGGAGACGCTCCGGCCCCACGGCCCCCAGCGCGCCACCCCCACCGCTGCCGTGCAGAAGACTAAGGTGCCGCTCGCCAAAGCCAGCTACGGGCAGCGGAACCTAGATCCGCCGAGCCCCCCGCAGTGCCCAGCCGGTGAGCCCCCCCCCAGGCCCGCTCCCTGCCTCACAGCACCCCCTAGCGCTGCCCTGGGGCCAGCCCTGCCTGCCAGGGGAGAGCGCCCCCTGCTGAACCCCTGCCCCGCTCCTTGCCCCACAGCACCCCCTAGCACCGCCCTGGGGCCAGGCCAGCCCTGCCAGGGGAGAGCGACCCCTGCTGCTCCCGCCCTGCTCCCTGCCCCCCAGGGCCCCCCCAGTGCCACCCTGGGGCCAGCCCTGCCTGCCGGGGGAGAGCGCCCCATGCTGAGCCCCCCACCCTGGGGCCAGGCCAGCCCTGCCAGGGGAGAGCGCCTCCTGCTGCTCCTGCCCCCGCTCCCTGCCCCACAGCGCCCCCCCAGTGCCACCCTGGGGCCAGCCCCGCCTGCCGGGGGAGAGCGCCCCGTGCTGAGCCCCCCACCCCGCTCCCTGCCCCTCAGCGCTTCCTAGTGCCGCCCTAGGGCCAGCTGCCCCTCCCCCACCCTGGCTTACCCCACCTCTCTCGGCAGGGGGCGAGGGGGGCGTCCTGTCCCCCCGGCAGATGGCTGAGGTCTCCCGCCTGCTGCGGCTGTACCAGGCCAAAGGCCGGGTGGCGCCCTCCTCCGAGGAGCTGTTCACCTACCTGCGCTCCGGCGACAGCAGCGGGTAAGGCTGGTGCTGCGCCTGCCCCAGGGCCTCCGGGCTCCACCTCGCTCCTAGGGACCACCGGGGGGCGGAATGTACACCCCAAGGGCAGCCGGAGAGGACTACACCTCCCAAAGTGCAGTGCTCTACCCGCCTTGCATGCTGGGAGGTGTAGTCCTCTAGCTGCTGCAGTTCCCCTCCCCATCGACACAAGGACGCGAAACTTAGTATATGGGTCCAGGGGTGGGGGGATCCCCCATCTACTCCCCATCAGCTCGGTTTAGGGCTTGGTGTGGGGAGGGCTGGGAGCCAGGACTCCTGGGTTCTCTCCCTGGCTCTGGGAAGGGAGTGGGGTCCAGTGGTTATAGCGGGGGGGTGGGGCTGGAAGCCAGGACTCCTGGTTCTATTCCTGGCTCTCGGAGGGGAGTGAGGTGCAGTTGTTAGAGCAGTGGTGGGGCTGGGAGCCAGGACTCCTGGGTTCTTCTTCGAGTGCTTGCTCATATCGATTCCAATTAGGTGTGCGCGCGCTGCGTGCACGATCGTCGGAGAATTTTCTACCCTAGCAACACCCGGTGGGTTGGCTGTGGAGCCCCCTGGAGTGGCGCCTTCATGGCGCTGGATATATACCCCAGCCGACCCAGCGCCCCCTCAGTTCCTTCTTACCGCCCCTGACGGTCGTTGGAACTGTGGAGCGCGGCATAGCTGTTCTCCACTCTCCCTAGCTTATCCTGTTAATTTTGTAGATAGTTGTAGTTATAGTTGTGATATAGTGTTAGATAGTTATTCATCTTCGTTTTAAATTGTTGTAAATAGTTGGCAGGGGTTAAGGGGGTTGTTCTCCCCCCTTTTCCCCCCGGCGCATAGCCGGGCTCATGCCCAAGGCTTCTGGCTTTAAGCCGTGCGCGTCCTGCGCCAAGCCTATGCCTACGAGTGATCCGCACGACTCGTGTCTGAAGTGTCTAGGAGAATCCCATCAGACAGATAAGTGCAAGATCTGTAAGGCCTTCAGACCGAAAACCAAAAAGGAGCGGGACTTTAGGCTTAGGCAGCTCCTCATGGAGGCGGCACTTAGCCCGGATCCTCCCTTGGCGCGCCCAGCCCCGGCACCGAGCGCCTCGGTGCGCAGCACCCCTGCGGCGCTGACCGGTACTGCACCGCGGGCAGAATCAGATAAGGCCTCACGGCATCGGCCTCCTTCGGCACTGCGACCGCCACAGGGGCCTCGACGCCGTTCCCTGTCTCCGGGACACAAGAAATCCCACAAGGCGCAGGAGATTGTTGTCCTGCAGACGCCGGCTCCCCTGGTGCCGGGGGTAGAGCCGCGTCCTCCTTTAGAGCGCCAGAAACAAGTACCGACTACACCGTCGACTCCGGCACCGCGCCCATTGAGTCCGGTGCAGACTGGCTCACCACCTCGGTTGGTGGTGGAGCCTTGTCTCCCGTCCACTCCGGAGACCTTTGCGACGGTGAGAGACCTTATCGCTCTCACGGAGCCGGCGCCGTCTCAACCATCGGCACCGTCGGCTCCTCGCGCAGTGCAATCCAGAGGCAAGCCTGCACTGGTACGCCCGCCGTCTCTGGACGTAGACTCACGGCACTGCTCCAGGTCTTGGAGAAGGTCCCGACGCCGCTCGCGGTCCCAACACCGCTCGCAGTCCCGGCGTCGACCATCACCTCGGCACCGGTCGTACTCGTGGCCGAGATCCTCTTCACGGCACCGGTCTACGTCTTGGTACCGTCAGGATCATCGGTACCGATCGGACTCAAGACGTAGTTCTCGGCACCGGTACAAGCGCCGCTCCACTTCGAGGGGCCGCTCCCGGTACCACTTTTACTCACGGTCGTCGTCTTCTAGGTCCAGATCCAGATCTCGGCACCGACATGGCCACCGGCACCGATCCCGGTACCGCTCACCGGCACCGCGCAGGGATCGGTCGCCTACGGACCAGCACCAGTCGGCACCGTACTGCACCGAGCCAATTCCAGCTCGTTTGGCACCGCCTTGGCCCTCGAGATCAGCGTCTCGCTCCTCAGATGGGGCTTTGAGATCAGCGTACCCTACTCAGGGCCAGGCTGCTGTGGCTGACTTGGGCCACTGGCAGGAGGTGGCAGAGGATCCTGCGCAGGACCCTACGCATTGGTCTTTCTGGACCCCATGGGCATATCACCAGGCGCAAGGGGCTCCACCATCAGCCTCTCGCTCGGCACTCTCTGAGCCAAGAGTCCCGGAGGCCACCATCTCCCGTCCTTCCCCAGGGGGCATGGAGGCTCCCATGCCTACACTGCCTCAGGCCCTGGGTCCAGGGGTAGGCGATGCTCCACTTCAGGGACCCTTAGAACAGGACCCTCCGTTAGACCTCTTGCCCCCTGAGGCATCCTCCTCATCTTCCCCGGATGAGGTGGTGGCGGGTACAACAACCTCGGGTCCGCCCCCGATAGATCTTCGTGCCCACCAGGACCTATTACGTAGGGTGGCGCGTAATATGGACCTCCAGGCAGAGGAGATAGTAGAGGTGCAGGACCCGGTGGTGAGCATTCTCTCGGCTGATGCCCCATCCCGGGTGGCATTACCAATAATTCGGACGATTCAGGCTAATGCCACTACTATATGGCAAACCCCTGCCTCTATTCCACCCACAGCCAGAGGGGTAGAAAGGAAGTACTTCATCCCTTCCAAGGACTATGAGTACTTATATACTCATCCCCCACCGTGTTCACTAGTGGTGTCCTCAGTAAATGCAAGAGAGCGTCACGGCCAGCAGGCGGCAGCGCCCAAATCGAAGGACGCTAAGCGCTTCGATTGGTTCGGGCGTAAGGTGTACTCGGCGGGAGGGCTGCAGCTCAGAGCCGCAAACCAGCAGGCACTCTTGAGCCGCTACAGTTATAACTCATGGAACTCCATGGGGAAGTTCAAAGAGTTGGTTCCCCAGGACTCAAGGGAAGAGTTCGGGGCCTTAGTGGAGGACAGTAAGAAGGTGGCGAGGACCTCCTTACAAGCCTCATTGGACATTGCGGACTCGGCCGCCAGGACGCTGGCGTCAGGTATCGCCATGCAGCGAGTCTCCTGGCTCCAGGTCTCGGGCTTGCCGCCGGAACTGCAGCAGACTCTGCAGGATTTACCCTTCGAGGGCCAGGGGTTGTTCTCGGACAAGACGGACTCTTGGCTGCAGAGCCTCAAGGACTCGAACGATCATGCGCTCCCTAGGGATGCATGTCCCAGAGCCCCAGCGCAGACCCTTTAGGCCCCAGCCACAAAGGTTCTACCCTCCCCCGCCTCGTCCGAGACAGGACTTCGCCAGAAGGCGGGGATGAGGTGGTAGGCGAAGGTCGATCGGCCCTCAACCCAGTCAGAACCAGGGCCTGCCCAGACCACCTTCAGGTCCTAGGCAAAATTTTTGAAGGTGCGGTCGAGGACGGCGTGCTAGCCACTACCCAGGATCCATCTCCCTCCTTTCGGGATCGCCTCTCCCGTTTCCACCGTGCTTGGTCCCTCATAACATCAGACTGTTGGGTCCTTCGCATGGTGGAGAGGGGTTACGCTATCCAATTTTCTTCGTTTCCCCCCCCTCCAACTCCTCCCTCCCCATCCCTCTTCAGGGACCCTTCTCACGAACATCTCCTTATACAGGAGGTTTCTGGCCTCCTATCTATGGCAGCCATAGAGGAGGTGCCACCAGAGTTAAGGGGCAGGGGGTTTTATTCCCACTATTTCCTGATCCCCAAGTCAAAAGGGGGTCTGCGACCCATTTTAGACTTAGGCGAACTCAACAAATTCATAGTATAGTTGAGGTTCCGCATGGTCTCCTTGGGGACCATTATCCCTTCCTTGGATCCTGGAGACCGGTACGCCGCCCTCAACATGAAGGACGCATATTTTCACATTGCGATCTATCCCCTCACAGGCGCTTCCTTCGATTTGTGGTAAACAAGGTGCACTACCAATTTGCAGTCCTTCCTTTCGGCTTGTCCACGGCTCCGAGAGTGTTCACAAAGTGTATGGCTGTTGTGGCAGCATACCTTCGTCGACAAGGGATACAGGTGTTCCCGTATTTAGACGACTGGCTGGTACGTGGCCGCACCAGAGAGCAAGTTCAAGCTCATGTCCACATAATAGTACAAACATTCCACGAGTTGGGCATTCTACTCAACAAAGAGAAGTCCACTCTAGAGCCAACCCAGAGGATAGAATTTATTGGGGCAGTCCTAGACTCCAGACTTGCCCGAACTATTCTACCAGACAATCGCTTTCATACCGTTACAAGCATCATTCGAGGGCTCAGGGCTTTTCCGATTACCACAATAAGGACGTGCCTTGCCCTATTGGGTCACATGGCCTCTTGCACTTATGTAACCAGGCACGCCAGACTTCGACTTCGCCCACTGCAGGCCTGGGTATTGTCAGTGTACCGCCCTCATCAACATAGTCTAAACATGGTGGTCATGATCCCGACCTCGATCCTGGTCTCTCTCGCTTGGTGGCTGGACCGCAAGGCGGTTTGCGCAGGAGTGCCATTCCACGCCCCTCAACCCTCCCTGCACCTGGTCACGGACGCCTCATCTCTAGGTTGGGGCGCTCACCTTGGAGAGCACCATACCCAGGGAATGTGGACCGCACCCCAACTAGCCCTGCACATCAATGTTCGAGAGCTGATGGCGGTGCGCCTGGCCTGTCAGGCTTTTCTCAGTCTCCTACAGGGCCGTTGCGTGTTAGTCCTCACCGACAACACCACGACCATGTTTTACATCAACAAGCAAGGAGTAGCCCGGTCGTCGCTTCTATGCCAAGAGGGCATTCGCCTGTGGGAATTCTGCATCGCCCATTCAATACATCTCACGGCATCGTTCCTTCCTGGAGTCCAGAACACGCTAGCGGACTGTCTCAGCAGGTCTTTCCAGACGCACGAGTGGTCGATTCGCCCGGACATCATCTATTCCGTCTTCCAGAGGTGGGGATTTCCCCAGGTCGACCTGTTCACATCTCGAGCCAACAGGAAGTGCCACGCGTTCTGCTCCCTGCAAGGGCGTTCTCTGGGCTCTCTGTCGGATGCGTTCCTTCTAATCTGGAAGGACCACCTGTTCTACGTTTTCCCTCCATTTCCACTGGTCCACAGGGTACTGCTCAAGCTACGCAGAGACCAGGCACGGGTGATTCTAGTCGCTCCGGCTTGGCCAAGGCAGCACTGGTACACCACGCTTCTGGAGCTGTCGGTTCAAACACTGATCACGCTTCCCCTGTGCCCAGATCTGATTTCTCAGGACCACGGCCAACTATGTCACCCCGACCTACAATCGCTCCACATCACAGCGTGGATGCTCCATGGCTGAATCGAACAGTGCAATGCTCGCACTCTGTCCAACAGATTCTGCTGGGAAGTAGAAAGCCCTCTACACAGTCCACTTACTTAGCCAAGTGGAAGCGTTTCTCCTGTTGGTGCGAGCAACGAGCCACGCCCCCCTTGCAGGCGCCTATTCCTCTTATTCTTGAATATCTCCTATCCCTAAAACAGCAGGGCTTGGCGATATCTTCGGTCAGGGTTCACCTGGCCGCTATCTCGGCGTTCCACCCAGGAGAGCTCGCTTCCTCGGTCTTCTCGAACCCGATGGTCGTTAGATTCCTCAAGGGCTTAGACCGACTGTACCCACAGCAACGCCAGCCCGTTCCGACGTGGGATCTCAACCTGGTTCTCTCCAAGCTCACAGGGCCTCCGTTCGAGCCATTGGCCACCTGTTCACTCCTGTACTTATCTTGGAAGACAGCCTTCCTTGTAGCCATCACTTCAGCAAGACGTGTTTCTGAACTCAGGGCGCTTACGTCTGAGCCTCCATACACTGTGTTCCATAAGGACAAGGTGCAGCTTCGCCCCCACCTGCCTTTCTTCCCAAGGTAGTTTCACCTTTTCACATGAACCAGGATATATTTCTCTCGGTCTTCCATCCTAAGCCACACGCTACTCGTCAAGACCAGCATATGCATTCCTTGGACGTACGCAGAGCCCTGGCTTTCTATATTGACTGTACAAAGCCGTTTAGGAAGACGACACAACTCTTCGTTGCAGTGGCCGACCGGATGAAAGGCTCACCGGTCTCCTCACAACGTCTCTCCTCTTGGATCACGTCCTGCATTCGTGCTTGCTACGACCTGGCCGGTGCCCCGACGCCGCGCCTCACCGCCCACTCCACGAGGGCCCAGGCCTCCTCAACTGCCTTCCTGGCTCATGTCCCGATCCAGGACATTTGTAGAGCTGCAATTTGGTCGTCAGTCCACACATTTGCTGCTCACTATGCACTGGTACAGCAATCCAGAGACAATGCTGCATTCGGATCAGTGGCTTTGCACACAGCAATGTCTCACTCCGACCCCACCGCCTAGGTAAGGCTTGGGAGTCACCTAATTGGAATCGATATGAGCAAGCACCCGAAGAAGAAAAGACGGTTACTCACCGTTGTAACTGTTGTTCTTCGAGATGTGTTGCTCATATCCATTCCAAACCCGCCCCCCTTCCCCTCTGTCGGAGTAGCCGGCAAGAAGGAACTGAGGGGGCGCCGGGTCGGCTGGGGTATATATCCAGCGCCTTGAAGGTGCCACTCCAGGGGGCTCCACACCCGACCCACCGGGTGTTGCTAGGGTAGAAAATTCTCCGACGATCGTGCACGCGGCGCGCGCACACCTAATTGGAATGGATATGAGCAACACATCTCGAAGAACAACAGTTACAAAGGTGAGTAACCATCTTTTCTCTTGGCTCATTCCTATCTGCTGCTCCCCAGGCCCGACGTGAAGGGCGACGGGGGCCACGTGAAGCCGGCTGCCCGCAGGAACCTCGACCCCAGGCTGCCCGAGGCCGGCAGGAGAGAGGTGAGTCTGCCAGGGGGTGGGGGTGGGGATGGGGATGGGCACTGTCGGTGTTTGGGCGCCGTGCGGGGCTCTAGGGCTGGGCTCTGTGGGTGCTGGGCGCTGTGGGGGGCTGTGAGGCTGGGCTCTGTGGGTGACAGGCTCTGGGGATTGCTATGGGGCAGGGCGCTGAGGGAGAGGGCTGCTTTGCATCCTGAGGGGTCGCACCCTTCCCCCAGGGCCTGGGGCTCTGTTCCCGGCCGCTCACCCTCCCCCCCCTCTCCCACAGGTGGGTCCCCCCCCGGCGCCCGGCCGGCGCCCGGCCCGGCCCTGAGAAGACCCACGGCGCTGCCAAGGGCGGGCGGAAGGCAGCCCAGCTCGGTGCCCGCACCGGCAAGGGGGGCGGCGTGTGGAGATGAAGCGGGTTCCCCGTGGGGCGTCCTGATGCCATCACACCCTGCACCCCCTGGGCACAGACCCCCCACCCCTCGGTCCCAGGGGTCTCCCCACTGCCTGAGGGGCCCTGTTCTCAGCCCCAGTTCGCATGTTGTGTTGGTGCCAGGGTGGCACATGGGGCTGGGCTGTTCCCCATTCGCACCGTGTTGCGTTGCTCTAAGTTATTGCCCCCCCTGTTGGGGCGCTGTTGGTTATTTTTCTAAATAAAGAAGAGTTGGGTTTTGCAGCAGATCCGGTGCCGTGATTGGGGGGCCCAGCCCGCCAGCCCTTTGCTCCCGTGCCCTCCTCCAGGAAGGGCAGGAACGCTGGGCATCGTCCAATGGTAGCAGACCCATGGGCCCATCCACCCAGGTATCCCGCTTCCTGCCTGCTGCCTGGCTCAGCCCCACAGGCCCATCTACCCTCGCGTCCCGCTTCCTGCTTGGCTCAGCCCCACGGGCCCATCTCCCCCGGCGTCCTGCCTCCTGCCTGCAGCCTGGCTTGGCCCCACGAGCCCATCTACCCCGGCGTCCCGCCTCCTCCCTGCCCAGAGTAGCAGAGCCTGTGCAGTGATTGGCAGAGCTGGGTTTGTCAGGGGGAGGGTTTCCCCCCTGTGCCCAGCCCCTCCTCCAGGCTGGGCACTGCCATCTGCTGCCCCCCCCCCCGGCAGTGCATCAGGCCACCGTGATTAGCTCTAATCTGCTTTTGTGCGAACGTGGCTTACACAACCCTGCGGTGCCCGCCCCGCGCAGGTGCCTTGGGGCTGGCTTTCTCCCCGCCATTCCGTGCTGTGTTCCTTTCTCCCGGGGGACCCCCCTCAATCGGTGCCCGGTGCTCGCTCGACGAGCCCCTTGGCGCGACGTGCCCGTCTCTTTTAACGGGCAGCCCCCCGATGTGAATCCTGCGCCGGGGAGACAACTCCGGGAGCTGAGCCACGCCTTGATTTCTCCTCCCTCTGCCCTTTTTTCGGGTGCCCCGGCGGGCACACGGAAAGCATGGCAGACACATTTGGTGCCCACTGGGGGAGGGTCATGCCCACCATCTCCTGGGAACTCGTGAGAGGGGCCAGGCCGGGATCCGACTCTCCAGGGCATGTCCACACAGGGAGAAAAGACCCGCGGCCGGCCCGGGTCAACGGCTCCATCTCCCGGGGCTAAAAAATTGTGCCAATTTTTCAGCCCCACGGCCTGGGCCAGGCGTGGCTTTCTTTTATCCTGATGTGGACGTCCGAGGCCGGACACGGGACCTTTGCAACCGTCCAACCCGTCCCATGCAATTTCCCCCCCCCCAAATCGCTTCCAGAGCAGATGTGGTTGAAACCCCGCTCCTGATGGCGTCCCGGTTAACGCCTCTCGCCGGTGAAAACGCTGGCGTCTTTCCGGTGGGGACTCGTCTTCAGCACTCAGCCCCTGGGTCGCGTCGGCACGTTCGTCTGGTTAGCCACCAGCAAGGCCGATTTCAAGGTCCTGGCTTCCTAGGACAGACACACTTCCTTCCCCCCGCCCCATCCTGGAAGTCTGATCCACCTTCTTTGCTCCTGGATGGCTGTGTTTACACCGAGCCGATTTAAAATGAATCGTTGCTCGATCAACCAAATCAGCGACCCAGCTTCATTTCCCCGTCCTCTGCCAACTTTCTCGGGACCAAATGAACTGGGGCGCCCACCTGGACAATGCCTGTGCCCAAGGGGGCTCAACTCTGCCCCCCCCCCCGGCGTTCTTTTGCCTTGCGCTGCTGGAGTCGTTGCCGGCGGTAGTACAGTGTTATCCCCTTGGTGGAGGGGGATGGCCAGTGCCAGTCACTCCCCTTCCGCTCCCCGGGCTCCTCCGCCAGTGTCTGCCCCTTGGTTCCCAGTTCCGCTCTCCTGCCCCACAGGACCCCCACCCCCTGCTCAGCCAGGCACTCTTGCCCCATGGGAGCCCGCGCCTGCCTCGCCTCACTGCCTGGGACTCCTCCCTAGGGCTGCTCAGCCCGCACACGGGGTCCTCTGATCTCCTTCCCAGCAAGCTGTGGTTGACGTGCCCCCCACTTCCCCCTGCGTCCCCTATCCCTGCCAACGGGGGTGGAAGGGAACAGCCAATCCATGGAGACACCCCCTCTCCCTCCCTCGCCCCCCCCAAACACACAACCCTCCCCACCTCACACAACCTCTCACACACCTCCTTGCAACCGAATGCACAGACCGCAACCCCCCGCACCCTGTCCCACGCATGCCAACCCCCCCCATCCCTGTTTGTCTCCCCATACAACAGGTGCCTGCACTGCCCCCGCACTGCACCCGCACAGCCCCCCCACAACCACACACAGAGCCCCCAGCACTAGTACACATTGCACTCCCTCCATGCAGAACTCCACAGGCGCATGCACCCTCCCTCTTGCAACACCCCCGAGCTCCCACACCTGGACACACACCCTCCGCCCCTTCCCCCGACGTGCGCACAGACACTAGTCCTCTACGCACTGTAACACATGCTCAGCCTTTCCACACAACCTTTACACACAACACACCCATACCACACAACCTCCACACACAAATCCCAACACACACCCCAACACACAACCTCTAACCCCAACACACAACCTCTAAACAGATACCCCAACACAAAACCTCCATACACACACAACACACAACCTCTACACACACCCTACACCCACACACCCTCCACAGACACACCCACGCACAACCTCTACCCAAATCCCAACACACACACAACCTCCACACACAAATCCCAACATACAACCTCTACACACACACACACACGCCCCCCAATCCCCTCCCCCGGTCCTCCACACACACGCCCTCCACACACAAATCCCAACACACACCCTCTACACCCCCCCACCCTCCGCACACAACTTCTATGCACACACCATACAACCTCTACACAATCTTCACACACAACCTCTACACACACCCGCACACCCACCCACCGTCTGCTCTCCACCCCCCATGCACAACTTGCTCTAACACACACCAACACACAACCTGGTCTCCCCGCACACAGACCCACACCCAACCTGCTCAGTGCATGCACTCCCACGTCCCGTCCCCCCCCAGCCTGCAAGCCCAGCCGGCTGCATGGCCCCCCGCCAGCACCCTCTGTGTGTGCCCCCTGTGATCCCCCATCTTCCCAGGCACCTCCATCTCAGGCCCACTGTCCCCGGCACCCGCCATTCCCTCCTACAGCCCCCATTGCCCCATAGACGCGGGCACCCCCACATACCCTCAGCCCCCCATCTCCCTCCTGCAACCCATTAGTCACCATCTCCCTCCCGGCACCCCATCCACCACCCCTTGGCAACCCCGTCTGCTCGCGCCGCTCCCCTGGCACCGTCTGCCTGGCTCGGCTGGGAACCGGCCACCCCTGTGCTCCTGCCCCCCCCCCCAGCCTGTCCCAGCTCCCCCCACCTCCAGGACCCATAAGCTGATTAGCTCAGCAAAGACACAGGGTGAGGATTATGGGTGTTAACCCCCCCGCACCCCCGGCCTCATCCCCAGGTGCTGACAGCCCTATTCACACACGCCACGCAGACCTGCTACTCTTGGGGGGGACCGGCCAGCGCAGGGGGACCCCACGGCCAGAGGCCAGCCCTGTGGGACCTGGAGCTCTGCGGCGTGGGCACCCCTTTTACCCTCGGCACCTCTCAAGGACCAGCAGTGCCCCCCAGGATTGGACTTGGGCTCCCCCCCCGCCCAGCTGCTATTTCTTCACTCACCCCCTTTTTGGGATTCCCCTCCACAGCCCCATCCGGGGCCTGGAATATTTCGGACAGCGTCTGTGGGTCGCCCAGACCACAGAGCCAGGTAAGGGGCAAGGACTCTGGGGTGTGTTGGATTGGAGCGGGGTGGAGCTGGGAGCCAGGACTCCTGGGTTCTCTCCCTGGCTCTGAAAGGGGAGTGGGGTCTAGTGGTTGGGGCGGCGGGGGGAGCTGGGAGCCAGGACTCCTGGGTTCTCTCCCCACCTTTAAAAGGAGGAGTGGGGTCTGGTGGTTAGAGCGGGGGGTTTGTGAGCCAGGACTCCTGGGTCCTTTACACTGACTTGCTGGGTGAATTCTGGTTGTTCACTGGTTTTGCCAGTTTCCCCCAGTACAAAACAAAATTCTTTTTTTGGGGGGGGGTGTCCCTGCTCCTCGTACCTGTCGAGTGCTCTTGGTCCCCGCCTGAGCAGAGAGCCCCCCCAACACACTCCGGGGAGGGCACAGTCTAACTCCCCAGGCGGGGGGGAGTGGAGAAGGGGCTTGGGGTCAGGAGACAGGGGGTGCAGTGTGGGGAGCTGTCTGCTCTGGGGGGAGGGTGCAGAGCTGAGGGGGGGAAATAGAGGGCAGAGGCCGATGCTGCCCTGCCAGTGGGTGGAGGGAGCTGGCTGCCGGCGGTGTGCAGGGGGATTAGGCCGGCTCACACCTGTCCGTCTCGATAAGCGGCTCTGCCGGGTCCTGGGGGGGGGGGGGGCTGGGGAGCGAAGGGTTAAATGCTAAAGCCAATTAATAACACAGCCGGCCTGCCCCACTGGTGGAGAGAGCTGGGGGCCTGCGCCGGCCTGGGCAGGATGGAGGAGGAATGGCAGGAGGGAGGGGTAGGGTGGGGGGATGGAGTGTATGGGGGGGAACGAGGGATGAATGGGGGATGTTATTGTAGGGTCTCTGGGGGCACTGGGGCTGCGTGTGTGGGTGTGTTATTGTGGGGTTTCTGGGGGCGCTAGGGCTGCATGGGTGGGTGTTATTGTGGAGTCTCTGGGGGCACTGGTCCTCTTGGTATGAGTTGTACACCACAAACCTGCATTACTCCAGCCTTTGGGGTGGGGGGAGGGCGTGCTAGCCATGGGTTCCAGAGATGCCCCCTGTGTATCGCACGCTCCCATTGGCTTTCAGAGCAATGGTGTGGGGGGGGGGAGTGGGGGGAGCAGCATCAGCCAATTGGCTACTAGAGCACTATGGGGGTTGTGTGCTGGGAGAAGGAGGGATGGTCCCCTGCATGGGGTGTAGGCTGCAGTGTGTGTGTGTGTGTATCCCCGGGGCCAGTGTGGTACCAGTCCCTAATCCTGTGAACTGGAACTGGGTGGATTTTTTGTTTTGTTTTGTTTTTGCGGGACAGCACTATTTACCTCTTTCCATTCTGAAAACTGACCATTTATTCCTGCCCTTTGTTTCCTACCTTTTAACCAGTTACTGATCCTGGAGAGGACCATCCCTCTTATCCCATGGCTGTTTACTTTGCTTAAGAGCCTTTGGTGAGGGACCTTGTCAATGGCT